CGTCTTCAAGCAAGGATCCTTCGTAGGAGTCACGGACCTTTGCATGAAACTCTGAGAGAGTACGGCGCTGGTCTTTCCGGGCCGCCTTGGGATCGAGGTTCTCCTTTTGTGCGAGGCTGGCGCGTCGAATTTGGGCATCCTTACGAAGGCTCTCACTCGCAGCCCGTTTGGGTGCGCTGCGCAGAGCGGACTTCTGTGGTGTATTGGTTGTAGGGTAGTCGAGTCTAATAGCTGGGGACGACGAACGAATGCTATTCTCGATGCTCATATAGGAGTTTCTTGAGTCGTCTAAACGGCGTGCAGGCTTTACGGGTCCTCTTCCGGCTTCGATGGAGATGCTATCGTCATCGTCATGGTCCATCTCTTCTTCTGATGTGCCGACCGGGGAAAAGTTGGGGAGGTATTGCTCGAACGTAGAGGTGTTAAAGGCGTAATCTGGCTCTTCATCCTGCTGGATTTCACGGCGGTTCCGTGCACTGCTATGCATGTTGGGGAGTCGTGGGCTTTTTCCAATGTCCTTCGTGGACTCGAGAGCTTCGTGTTCGGGATCAAAGTCTGAGCCAAAGGACGCGAAGCTGTTGGTTGTGGCTTCGCGCGACATATCGTTCATGAGCTACGCGCCTGGTTGAGAACCAGTCCGTTGTTGACACTAGTAATCGAGGCAGTCGCGTTAGCACCTAAGCGTCACCTATAGCTGTGTGCGAAGGGCTTGATCAGGGGGTATAGGATAGTTGTTACCTGGACCGTATAGGCTAGGTGATATAAGTGCGGGATTGTTTAGATGGCAGCGCGTCGGGCCAGCGCGAGCCACTAGTGCTCTGAGACAGGAAGTCGCAACAAACAAAAGACAAGAGCCCTAAATTCTTCCAATTGAGAGGCTGGAATGAAGAAAAAAAATGATGCTTTCTCGTCACAGTGATAGTATAATAACAATCGCTCTTGATTGCAACATAAGGTGCAAAAGGTGGATGCGACACAGCAAATTAAGAAACGAGGAGGTTGGGTTGACTTGCTTCGGGGTGGAACGGGCGGGCGGCAGTTTGGTTTGTTTACTTTGTTCGAGTGGAGCTGCTGACCGCCTTGAATTCCACGGCCACGAGGTGCGGCTGGGCCAGCAACGAGCCATGGTCTCTCCCCGCGATATCGTCCGCTGTTGGGCATTTTGGTAGTTCTGAATAACAAAACGTACTGCTATGGTGATCAAGTTCACTTAATTCGAGTACCCAATCCACTAACGGTATAACATAAGACTCCGCCCAGATCACCCTCTTATAATATGTGCAGACAATGTGAAATGCAAAGCGCGCGCCTGCTGCTTAAGGCCAGCGCTTGCAATCCTTCCAGATTGTAAATGTACAAAGGCAATGTGTCGAAACAAGTCAATCAACAATAAGGTTTCACCTAAGCTTAACGCCTTGCTGGCTAACAAAAGTTCAGAGGATGAGGACAAACCAGTGTGTCCAAAGGATATTAAAAGAATATATGCCAAGAATCTAGAGGTCGTAAATGGTCATAGTCGTCACAAGGCACGATCAGATTTAGTAGTTTCAATATATGCGGACGTTATCGGCACGCAGCAGGTGATCAACCGGGCATTTATGTGCTTGAGGTTGGACGAGTATGAGGGCCATCCGTGACCGAGTGACCGTCCATCGACAGCTCAACAAGCGGACGGTCCTCAGCAGGGCCTTCTACCAATGGTGCATGTGTCGCTGAAACCTCTTCTGCTCGCAAAGGATTGGTGGGTGTTGTGGGAGTGTTGCTGATGGGGCTGGCAGCATCGATGTGGATTGTAGGTAAGGGAGTCAATTCCCGCAGCTGAGGCGCATGTTCGCCTCGTTCGGCGATTGGACTTTGATAAGGAGGAGCATCTCCCCAGTCAAGGTCTTCATAATCCGGGGGCGGAATGTGGAGGGCGCCGACGTCACCACCATCTTCCGGGCCTGGAATAGGCTGCCCCAGAGAGTGAGTAGAAGTCGCGTGAGACCGAACCTGAGTTAGAGTGTCTGCTTCGGAGATGGTGGTGGCGCCGGACTGGAATGACGAATATGATTCACCTCGAGAGTGAATGCCAGTGAGAATCGAGCCCGAGGAGCGATCGGCAGCTTCAGAGCCCATGCCAGTAGCATCTGTGAGGAGAGGTCGACGGTCTGAATCGGGCGATGAGGCTCGAACACGCGATCCATCGTGACGGACGTATCCTACCTCGGCATAGGAAACACTGGAAATACGTCTGTCGCGACCACGACCCTGACTTTCTGCAAGTGTTGCGCTGAGGGTCGAATTACTAGCGTTGGCAGATGATCGACTCTGTGCGCGCGCCCGACTCTGCATTCGTAGCTGTTCAAGGCGGGCATGATCGCCCTGAGCACGAGCCTCACGACGTTCCTGTCGCCGCTGCTCCCGTTCGGCTAGCTCATGTCTCCGTTGCAAGCGAATCTGGTACAAGGACTCCATCAAATTTTCTCTGCGCTCCTCTTCCTCCTCGGCAGTTTCAGGAAACTCGACCACGACATCCATGCCCTCTCGTTCGCCCTCCCGAGCTATGATCTGTTCTGTTGGTTTGGGGCTCGCTGAATATGGAGGAAGGGTGATGATAGACCGAATTGAGGTTTCCCGTCGAACCGCAGTATTGGTGGTGTGCATTTCAGAGCCTCCTTCTGGGGGTGCTTCAGTCGTGGCGTTTCCGGGGTTGTTGTTCGAAGATCCATCCGGCACTTGTCCATACGTGACACCCACGTTCCAACGATTCCATCGATCCTTGAGAAACTTTCCGGGTATATATTTCGGGCGGCAATCCATTCGGCGAAGGGTGCGCAGGACAAAATAGAGCATCAAGATGAATGACAGGACGAAGATGATGCAGGCAGCACACTGCAATTGTGAGTATGTGTTGTCAGCACTAAATTTGGGTGATGTTCATAAGAGGGGGAGAGAGAAAAATGAAAGGATTGAATGGCCTTACAATGATGAAGATATTGTTCTTCTTGTTCGTAGTGTGGTCCCCGCCATTGTCACTGCTCTTCTCCGTGTTTGGGTCGCTGGCCGGCCCATTCTGACGGGCGCCAAAATGCCGGAGGTCGTCTGGAATGTACATGCTGACAAGCTTGGGCGACGCAGAAAAAGGCCCAAGGCCTCAGCCTCAGAACATACAGAGGTACAAGAAGTGTGAGAAATGTGAATGAGATAACAAGCGATTCAATTCAAGTCTGGTTCGGGAGGAAAACTCGAAAGATATGGTAGCCTAGAGCGGGAAAGTGGCGGAACTGGCGGATGTGGTGAGGCTGTATATAGGGTGATACAGACGGGGAGCGGAAGCTGCTGATAGGTGTAGGTGCCAATGCGTGTTCAGATGGAAAAGGCAGGGAACCAGAAAGTATATCGGAAGGGTCAAAAGAAGATGAGAGGGGTATTCAGGAATAGTAAAGATGGTAAGAGTAAGATGCGCATGAGATGGCTTGTCAGCATATCCGTGACTTCCATACAGCATACACAAGAGTGAGAGGGAAAAAAGAGGGGAAGAAAGAAAGAAAGAGAATTAAGGAAAGGGAAAAGAGGGAAGATTGGAGAACGAGTGAAGACAAGACAGTTTAGGTAGATTGAGTCTACCTAGGTAGCTAGAACAAACCAGCGGCTAGCTGGTATCAAAGAGTGACGATTGATTATCTGTCCAAGACAAGACACCATTAGAAGTGAGTGCTGCAGGAAGAGAGCCTGGAGAGTGAGTGGCTGGGCCTGCGAGACACACGGGATTGGAGTTGAGTGGCTGGCCTTTGCAAGTTCCACTTTCACCTTTCCCTTCCCTTCCCCTCTCCTCCCCTTCAGTTCGTATCCATTTCTTCCTTGATAATCAAATTTGTTCAACCCACCCTTCAAATGAGAAAATATACAGAGTATACTCCGTACTCATCATATAATCCTCAGACTTTTCTAAATTAATGATCTCCATTTCCTCCCCCCGAGTAATTAAAGCCAATCTCATGGTGAAAGGTGAAACGACCGACCGAAATTCCATTACAATACTCCGTACCTCCTCCTCCGTCCGGCTGTTCTGCCCGGACCACTTTTAGACGCGATGCCATTTTTAGATCTTGTCATCTTTTTTCCCTATCGATAAGCTCTTCCGATCCCTTCCCCTTCCCCTCAACCCGTCATCCCTCCAATACGAGGAATGTCCTGTCCAGTTGGGTTTAACCACGCTTCTGGAAGGCCAACGGCTGATGGTTGGTTCATCGAGGCTATGACCATGGAACGCCATCCCCGTGCACGAGCTCAGCTCACACAACTTCTGCTGTTTCCTGTCATTCGAATAAGGCGACTCGCGACCACTTAGAATATGACCTTTTGACACAACGGTTAGTTCGAGATCTGCGGAAGGCCACTAGACTTCTACTGCTACTAAATGTGGTAAATGGCCACTGCACACTCTCGGGGAATTTCGAATCTCATTCTCATGAGCACATAAATCACCATCATGGTTGAGGTCGTGTGGACTACGAAATACTCTCTTCGACCATCTCGACTAGACCATGACATCGAGATCTACCCGCTCGAGGGAACGAGGTCCTCCTAGCATTATACAGTCACCACCAATTGCAGGTCATGTATGGAGTAGCCCTCCCCGCAAGTGTTTCAAGACAAACCCCACAGGCTATACCTCACCGCTGCACGCATGACACTGCAGGTGGTTTATCTGCTGGATTGTGAAGCTAAGTAAGGTAGGTATCGACGAGGTCAACCCAGTCTTACCGGCCACTCCAGCCCTTTAGAGGCCTTGGTCTGGCTACAGATCTATACCTCTTATGTATCAAGCAAGATCTTGTTTGAGCAGAAGAGGATTGAAGAAGCGACAAGTATGTACATATTGGCTTGGCGAATTTTTATGACGGTCAAAGCGAGCGCCTCCGGGAAAGAGAGAATCGACGATTGAGCGGTTCCTCGTCATCGCACGTGCCTCACATCCACCGATGCAGCCTTTAGTGCGCGATAGCCCTTCTGTTTTATGCATCGGTCTCATCGTCCTCGCCGGGGTCCTCGATCAAAGCCTTCAGTTTCCCACCATTCCGGCGCGCGAGCTCTTCGAATGACCCGTCTTCGACCACACGACCTTGTTCAAGCACGACGATCTTGTCCGCAATCTCCATCATTTCTCTTGCATGCGTTACGATGAGCACAGTAAGTCCAAGCTGACCGGCGACTAGCTGCTGCACTGTTTGGCGAACGATCTTAGCATTCGTAGGATCAAGGCTGGATGTGGCCTCGTCCAAGATCAGGATCTGGGGCTTTCGAATGAGAGCTCGTGCGATGACAAGCCGCTGAGCTTGTCCTCCCGACAATCCCACGCCACCGTCTCCGATAACTGTGAGATAGCCTTGGGCCAGAGATGAAATGAAATCATCAATCCCAGCAGCCTGTGCGGCAGCGCGTACATGGTAAATCTGGTGGAGGGAGGATGAGTCTTCGAGGCCGTAAGTTATGTTCTCCTGAATCGTCCCCGGAAAGATAGAGGGCTGCTGCGACACAATTGAGATGAGAGATCGAAGCGTTGGAGTGTGCACTTGATGAATGTCAACGCCCCCTAAGGCGACTGTGGGCCATCCTTGGGCTGACTTCGGACTCTCGTATAAATTGAGAAGCAGCGATGTTATTGTGGACTTTCCCGACCCGGAACGCCCAACGATAGCTGTACATGAGTTTCTCGGAATGGTGATTGAGACGTCTTTCAGCACCAGTGCGTTGGACCGGGTCGGATACCGAAAGCTAAGCCCCGTGATCTTGACTGGTGCGACTTGGCGGACCTTGAGGGTTCCCTTATGCTCGTGCGAGCTACCCTTGGGGAGGTCCGCAAGGCGCAAGAGCTGGTTAGCCATCTCCTGCGATGTGCCAATTTGAGGGACTTTGGAGTGGTCAGTAAAATGCTTTATAGGTCGGATACAGCAAATTATGAGAACATACTCCATGACAGAACCACGCTTGCATATCCAATGCCGAACAGGAGCATAGAAAACACGCTCATAAGTTCTTCGACGCTGAATTCTGACGAAGATACCAGGACCGCCCCATAATAGAATATCAAGGCTTTGATTCGTCAGCACCAGCTGTATGATACTTCAATATTCTCGTTACTTACCACTGACAACCATAATCATAGAATCGACCAGGCCAAAAAGAGACCCCGTGTAGAGAGCCTTTTTGATGCCGATGGTCATGCACACCGCAGCAGCTTTCAAGTGCTTCTTGTGAAAGAACGGCTCTAGCGTCAGGTTTCTGACTGTCCGGATCTCTGAAAACGTCTCGATAAAGACCTCCGATGTCGTGGTTCTAGCTCCAGAAGAGCGTCTCTCCCATAATCCAGTCGTTCTCTCAAAGCCTCTAGTTATAGCGTAAATGACGGGGCCGCAAGCGAGAACGACAAGGGTCAACTTCCAGCAGAGGGCCATGCTCCAGATAATCGCAGTCAGAGTAACGGTAGCAGCCACGAGGAGATATCCACCAAAACGCCCAACCAAGTTGCGCATCTCCTCTCCATTTTGGTTCAGACATGTTGTTAGCTGGGAGGGTCTGTTCCCTTCTTCGTCAAACCATTTGCGGGGCTGGTCGAGGGCTCGGGCGAAGCCGATCTTGCGTATACTATCGACCCAAGCTTGACCGCATAGATCCAGGAGGTAATGCATCAAAAAGGACACTACACCATCGGCCAACGATACCCCGAGGACGGCCAATGACCACGTCGACGCGTGACTGTTTTTGTTGTAGAAAGTCTGCAGCAGCTGCGACAAACAGAACGAGAATACCGGAGTCGCCATCGCATGAAGAAGCGTGCTGAAAGACCCGAGCCCCAGCAGCCAACGTTGTCCAGTCGTCAAATTTGGTATCATGGTCAACAAGATCTTCCGTAAAGGCAAGCGCTGCTGCGGCAGAAGGCGGGTCACTTGCTCGGGGTGCTCATCTGTAACCATTTCGTCAATGCGATCAAGCGGGTGGTTGTTGGCAGCAATGTGACGGCTGATTCGGTTGAGCTGTGCCTTTGCGCCGTTGACTTGAATCGTGTTGAGCTCGATCATCTCCAAGGCGATAGAGTCGATGGATTCTCGCTGCGCATGGAGTGGCAGCATGGATCCGAACACGCTTTGTCTTCTGGATCGCACCCCACCGGCATGCTCATTGTCTGCTGATAGCATCTCCTTGAGATATGCATCTCGCACTGGGTCATAGAAATGTCTACTTCGAGCTTTCGATGTTCCACAAGAGCCTGGCTCAGGCGATGGGCTCCGACTCATCGCGCCGCCTGCGTCTTCTTCTTCACCTTGCTCGGTGGTTTTCTTACTTTGTGAAGGGAAGAATAGTTTGTTCTCCTCCAGCTCATATCTATAACCGGCGTGAACTACCGAGCCATGCTCTAGGATATATGCGAAGTCACGGTCCAGGATCTGGGACATTTCGTGCGTGATGATAATCGTTGTCTTGCTCCGTCGCCATTCTCGAATGGCTTTCATGATTTCGACACGGTTGGTGCCGTCTAGAGCACTTGTCGGTTCGTCCATGATCAATATGGGAGTATCTCGGAGTCGAGCTCTGGCGATCGCAACCCGCTGCCTTTGACCTCCGCTCAGAAAATTCCCTCCGGGCCCAACACATGTTTCGATGCCTTCGGGCATAGCCTGGATGGTTCCCTCTAACCTGGCTAAATCAATGCATCCTTGGATGTCAGGTTTCCGGAGCCGACTGTGATCTCGACTTCCGAATGCGATATTCAGGAACACGGACTCGTTGAACAGCACACTCCGTTGTTCGATGAGCGTCACGTTTTTGCGAATCCAGTTCGTACTCAACGTCTGAATGGGATGCCCATCGATAAGAATCTCACCCGATGTCGGCATGTAGAAGCGGGCAAGCAGCTGTCCAAGTGTGCTTTTTCCGGATCCGCTTTTTCCTATGACAAACGTGATCTCTCCAGCTGGGAAGAAGAAGCTCGTCGAGTTCAGGCTGAGTCTGTCTGGTTGAGACGAGTATGAGAAAGAAAGCTTTTAGGCACCGGCGGATTAGCGAGTGACCCAACATGAAAGAGGAGAGTGATGATATATTACACACGTTTTTCACTTCGATGTCGCCATGGCAGACATCCGGGCATATGGCCCCGTCTAGCACCCCGGGGGCTTTACCGTCCGCTCGATCACTCAACGCGTGTCGCAGGGCAAGGGAAGCGACCTTGCCCTTTTTCATTACAGCTGCCTGCGGCATGATAAACTCGAAGGACTGTGCTGCTGCCAAGCAGGCCCAGAAGGTCCTTAGAACTTCCCCTGCAGAGAGCTGGCCGGACGTCGCCAGAGAGCTGCCATACCAGAAGCCTTGAATGAACATACCGAAAGACATCATCCGCAGGAATGCGATCTGCAGAGAGGTGAAGCGTGCTCGCCTCAAGTAGCACACTGCTGCTTTGTCGATGCTGGCCACAAAACTCCGGTGCTCGATGAGCTGCCCATTGAACGACTTGACAGCATCTATCGAGGTGGTGGCGCTATCCACAATCTTCGACGATTTCGCGAGCTCGATCTTCTGTGCTTCAAAGCTCGTATTCATTTTTGCGGACAAGAATGCGATGATGGCCGATAGCACCGGCATCCCGGCCAGAGTTACCAAGCTAAGGTTCCAGGACGTATAGAAGGCTAAGATCAGCGACACGATCGCCCGAAAAAGGTACTGTACGGCAAGCCCGAATGCCTGCGACGTCGCCTTCTGTAGGTCATCAATGTGGCTAAGTTTCAGTGTCAGCCTGTCAGGCGAGCCAAACAAGATCATCATCATGCAACGCACCCCTGGAGACTTGACAGGTACACCCGAGTGCCATCCTGCTGTGTCTCAAACCATTCTTGATCCCTCCTCAAGAGACCATCGAAGAGCTCGGTGCGAGCGTTCGCCACTTGCAACTCTCCGAATATAACAAACAGGACATAGTAGCATCCATTACAGATCCAACTGATTGCTCCCAAGACCGCCAGTCGGACGCAGTACTTTGTCGTAGTCCGAATCAGGTCGTGATTCGTGATCTCTTGGCCTCCGAACAAGGTGAATTCGTTGAAGATCTGCCCCAGCAATATAGAGAAAACCGGTGTGGGCAGACTTGCGACGAGAGCGAGGACGACTCCTCCGATCAGAGTCGGCGCATGCTTCCCAGTTGTGAAGCTGAACAAAGACAACCAGCCCGCATTTCCGCCTGAGGGGAGTCGGAGAGTAAACGCGGCCATCGTTTGATTCGGCCTTGCGAGCCGTCCTTGATTGACTGTTTTTCTTTCTTTTATCTATCGACGAGGCGTCTTGATAAACTCTGGGAGATACATGGTTTGACTGAAAATACAGAGAGGTAGGTCTTCGCAGACGATCTATCCATATCAAGCTGGGGAAACCCAAAAGTCTAACACTCGCCTATGCTCCATCCTGTTTGTGAGGCGTAACAAAGGGGACTCAAACCTAGTCGACAGTCATTCATGGCCGGCTGAGATAATCCATTATCCCGCTCCTTGTCCCAAAGCGGTTATATTGAGGAAGGGAAAGAGAATGATCCGCGGTTGCCATTGTTGTTTTTCTCCGCTCGCCCTGAGGGTCAACCGCCCAAAAAGAAAAAAAAAATGTCTATTCATTACTTCATTTCAAATGAAACAAGATCCACCCACTGTATATACACATAATGTTTCGCTTTTTGAGAATGAAGAGAGAAATTGAGACCAATCCGGTTGTCATTCTCGCAAGGAAACCAGACTCTCTGCCAAGGTCATTAAGACCGTTACTGAAAGATCCATGGGACCATGAACGGGCCGTTGAGTGGGATGACTATGGAATCGAGTCGGTGCACTATCCCGTAAAGCGACAGCAAATGCAGGATTGGGTGCCTGGGGAAGGGATCCAGTCATTCGTGCGACGATTTTAGAACGGCCAAGGGTAAAAGTGTACTCCGTGGCACACATCTAGGAGCTCGCCTTCTGTGCCTTCTCATAGATCCAGTCGTTGAGTCCAGCGCGGTTTCTGAGGAATCGATAATTGATTAGTCCACCTGTGTTTTCCCTCAGTCAAAGCGAGGATGCTCACCTGGCGATCTCGATCGCGTAGAACTGCATGCGCATAGCTGTTTCACGACGCGACGTTAGTCCCACATATTTCCCCATTGTAAACAAACATGCTGTAGGAGAAGAGAGAACGCACCGAAGATGGTCGTCTCCTGGTCGTACTCGAACTTGGGGTTGGACCGGAGCATAGTTCCGAAGTTGAAGTCGGCGACCGTCTTCTCGTACTGGTTCATCCAGTTGCGCCACTTCTCCTTGCCCTCCTTGCTCTTCATCGTGTCCTCGTTCAGCGTCTCGGCGGGGTCGAAGTCCGGGAACTCCTTCATGAAGGACTCGTAGATCTCGTCGTCCATCTTGGTCAGACGAAGCTGCGAGCCGCGGACCTTCTCGAGGATCGCCCAGTATGTCATCAAGTGCTCCACGGCTGTACAAGGTGGTGTGAGTATGAGTGGTTTTGCCTAGAACAGTGAGGTGAGGGGAAACGGACCCTTGACGGCAAACTGCTTCTCCATCTACAGCGCGAGAAAATTTAGCTGTTGATCTGAAGGATATCACCAGGGGTTTTCTTTCTGGCGCAAAAGCACGAACTTACATCGTCCAAGTTCTCCGCGGTCTCGGGATCGAAAGGCTTCGACATTTTGGCGGTTGTATTTGTGAAATGATCTTTAAAGAAATGATCAAGGTGGTCGGTATACAATGGACGGTCGCTTTGGTGACCGATAAAAAATTCTGGTGGTGGTTGTTGGGTGGATTGGGAAATTGAATCCGAAGTGCCCCGCGCGCGACAGACTACTCTTTTTCTGCCGCGGGCGGAGATTTTTGCGCCGCCCGCCTAACACCCCCGCCCCGCACCAGATCCGTACGTCATCTGCACCAATCTCAACGGTGCTTCCTAAAGCCTGAGAAATGATATGCAAATACAAGTCTGCTCATACTACAGGTCCACTGGCCTCTACACCAGACTCTACCGGCAGCTTCAAGCATCTTCGAGGTGCTGCTCAGAGCTTCTACACCGGGATTGTGTCGCTTATTAATAGGTGGCCAAATTGCCTGCTTGCTTTCCATTCGATTCTGCGGATGACCGATCAAGACAATGAGGGACAGAGCTACCCGAATTAATGTACAAGGGGAGACTGTAACTGTAATGCTATGCTGAGGGGCTAGACGGCAAGATCATATATCTTAGATGGGAAGGAAACCTGTACAACTCCGGGCCCCAGCTCAATTGACCGGATATAGTACAGCAGTAACAAAGGGGTCCAGATAGCAAATGCTCAGTTGCTGTCATCCGAATCAGACAGTTCTTCGAATCTACCTTCGTGGAGGGCGCGCGTGACAGGGTTCTCCACGTTGAGTATTCCATTCGCTTTGGCCCTGTATGAAGCTGTCAGCAATCATCTATATGATCGGTGGCGGAACACAAACCTCTCGAAGAGCACAAACAATCGCTCTGCCTCACGCTCCTTCTCTTCCTTTGTCATAGGCGGCCATTCATCCTTCTTCTCCGCAGCCCATTTCTGGCCAGTTATGGGGTTGACCTGCGGATCGAATCCCTGCGGGTTCGTAGCGAATGCCTCGCCCGCTGTCTGCGGTATCTCCATGCCACGAGAGGCCAACAATCCTGCTGCAAAACCGTAGCCAATGTTTCTGGTCAAGTTTTCCGCATCCTTTCCAGAGAGAACGAACATGAGCTCGGAGATAGCTGTCTTTACGTTCGGATAGGGGGTGGTTGAGAGATTCAGAAGCTTGGAGGAAAGCGTGTCGGACTGGCCAATGGGACGACTTCTATCATTCTCTTCGGGCAACAAAAGCCATTGCATATACTTGCGGACCCCATCAGGTGCCAGCTCATGAATAGTCACAAGAGTGTGGAAAAGTGGGATCGCTTTGGTTTCCAACTCATCTGCCTTGTATGCAGACACAGCCTGATCCAGAATATTAATCAGCTTGTCAACATTGCAGTTCTGATTGAACGTCGGAAAGAGCGGACTGCTCTCCCATGCTTTGCCTTTCTTGTTCTCAAGGTCAAGGGTTGACAGGCAGTTGAGTAGATAGCCGAGCAAGCCGTCTAGAGGCTTTTCAGGAATATCCATCCGGCTGATGATCTTGAAGAGGTGCGGGATCGAAGGCGAAAAGCTCCCCGCGAGCTCCGGATAGATCTTGGAGACATTGAAAATCAATTTCAGTGTGTCGATGAGCGCCAGTTCGTCCATTTGCGACAAGGGCTTCTTTCCCGACTTCGGAAATTGCTTGGCGTGCCGAGTAATTTGCTACATAGATTGATCGGTCAGTTTGGTTCTAATCCTCTAGAGGGAAGGGAGGGGGTGTGGGATGGTGGAGAGGGATCACTTACATAGTTGACATTTTCACTCAAGAGATGATTCTTAATGAGTATTTCGAAGTCCATGGTGGTGTCATATGTGGAGAGAAAGAGTATGCGACTAATAACCATTTCATCGTCCGAAGAGTCACACTAGCCTGGGTCAGCAAATAGACATAGATGTTAGACGGTGTAGTTGATTTGCATACTTTGAGTGACTCCGCCAATTTACCTCCATAGCCTGTATCAACAAACAACTGGCGCATAGCAGGGTTCAGGAGGAGAGCATTCGCAACGCATCGTAGGGCAGCTCGCCGCACATCGGTCGTTTCTCCCGTAACACCGTACTTGGCTAACAGTTCTATTCCCTGTAAACAGTCAGCAGTCGAAGCAAACTAGGAGTAGTCGGTTCCTGGGTAGTACCTCTTTAGAATAGATTGGGCCTGCATTATCAGGATTGGTGCCATGCTGCCTCAGCTCCAACAAGGTTTGTACTCGTTCTATAAGGTGCATTCCATATTATAAGAAGCTTGATCAGGACGATTCTTTTCTTTGTACTTACGCTGTGATGTGAGCGACTTCTCCAGCTGGTCTTGTTTTAGCAACTCCACCAACTGGGAGACCCGTTGCAGTTTAGCTAAGCATAATCTGTCAGTCTACATCGATATGATGGTGGTTTCCACATACCTGCACCTTGGAGCATGCGAAACTCCATCTTCTATGTTGTTCGAAACTTGAACTCGGCAGAGAAGCAACCAGATTCCTGTGTCCCGTGTGGCTTTGTATGAATAGCACACCCCCTGGTAGTCCACCCAAACTTGGGCCCCGCTTGATTAGAGCTGGTGACCTTCGCGACCGCACAAACCTCAGCGTTCCAGTAATCTGAATGGTTCAAAATAGTAACACTCTCTTGGTAAGACAAGTCACGCTATAGCGCAAGGTTTAGAGGCCCTGGACCAAGTGATGTAAAGGTTTCGGGCCTTGAATCCGCGGGGATGGTTCTTGCCAGAAGCTAAAGCCGGTGGATCGGTGAATAGAGGATCGGAGAGGTGCGATAAAGCAGGAGAACCCCACTCAGGCTCACAACTGTACAGTATTTGTCTCTCCACAAGTATTGATGGAAGAAAGGCATGTACTGATATAGGTAGATTTCGCTGCGCCCTGTTGAGGAGGATATTCTCAGTTTTTCGAGAATGTTTCCTATCAAAGACACGAGTCCAGACCCATGTTTCGAGCCCAAATATCTAGACTGGTTCTATCATTAAATGGTTCATTTGTTTGTTCCATTTGTTTCAACTTCCCGCCCGGATACCAGTACTAGTAGTGCCTTGTCTTCTCAGGCACTAAGGCATCAAACGCGGCGCTGCCACTTTACGCGTGCCTCAGCCACAGGCGCGTCCCTTTTGAGCTGCGTGGCTTGGCGCGGTTCCCAGAGGATCAAACGCTCGACAGCCCTGCTTCATCTGGGCTTCAAATCTCGCTCCAGGTTGTCTCTCTCAGGCTTGAACTAGAGCATGGACCACTCGTGATCATCGCCAGGCCATATCGCGATGTCCTTTTTTCTCTCTCCGCTTCTGATCCCTATTTCTTAACCATTCGATCGTCAAAAATATGGTGGAGATTCTCGGTCCTGTCTCTGCTCGTCCGCCGACTCCACCAAGGACATCATCTTTTATGCTGTCTGAGAAAGATCGAAGGGAAGACTCTCCGGCCATTGTGCATACGCCTCGTGACTCTCCTTTCTCTGTCAATGGTTCTACCGGGGCCCCCTCGACCCGTCAGTCCAAGCGCGTGAACTTCTCGCCATGGACTAAATATATCAAACCTCCGACTTTCACGAATTCCACCGCAAAACCGCGACCTGAGCTGAAAGTTCTCCCCCCGTCGAACGAACTCAAACCCGCAAAATCGATTCTCAAGACGACGAGCTCGCACTCTCTAGCCGATTCCCCTTCCTCCGCTCCTCCCATTCCCGACACGTTCACCATGCTTCTTGAATCCATTCTCCAGCAATTAGCTGGCGACACCGTCAGCTCCAGACTCGATGCATATATGCAATTCTTCGGAGCGCTAAGGGCATATGAAGGGCTTCCTGGGGAGCAGGAAGTCATTGCGAAGTTGGGCACAATTACGCATTTTATACAACGAGACATCAGCAGAGACCTGCCGACTGGAGGACCTTTGGACACCAATCTTGTCATCCAAGCGCTGAAATTGGCTGTTGCTCTTGTCTGGCACAATGAAATATCTGCGCGACTGTCGGACGAGTTCAAGGCATTCCTTATCGATCATTCGATCGATTGCCTGCAGGATGCCAAAGTGCCCAAGTCCGTGATCACACACTACTTATCTGTCTTGGCTACACAAAACTTTAATACAAGAATCATGACCAATGCCAGGGTGATACGCCTTCTCACTGTCTTGAACAGTCTGACTAGCCGTGTCAATGGAAATGCAATTGTGTCTCAGCGGTTGAGCATCTACTCTCGTGTTCTCGGTCAATCCAAATCGATATTTGTCTCTCATGCAGCGCTGTGGATGGAGCATTTAATCTCGGGACTACTTCATCATATGAAGGATACTCGCTTCAAAGCTATTTCTGTCGGCTTCCAGACCTCTATCACATGTGGCCCCAATCCAACGCTATCAAAAACCGTCCGGGATGTGCTTGGAAGGTTCATAGACAAAGGCAGAAAGATGGTAACTGAAGTCTGCGAGAGGATGTCACGGATGATGAACAATCCTGAGTCCGGTATACATGTACCGCAGGTCTGGGGCGTAATTGTACTGCTTCTGAGAAGTAAAAAGTTCAACGTTGACCAGTGGGAACATTTCAAAGAATGGGTGCTGGTTTTGCAAAGGTGCTTCAATTGCAGTGACTCTTCAATCAAAGCCCAGGCTATCCTCGGTTGGAATCGATTTGTTCTGGTCGTTGGCCCGAGCGATACAACAAGCCCTTCTATACTCAAGATGCTGAGCAAACCGATCATGTCCCAGTTCGACCGCAAGAAGCACGACAAGCAACCGAGCCAGCTGGCACTCTGCAGTTATTACAATCTACTGTACTATGCCTTCCGTCCGTCTGCAACTTTTGAGCACCTGGATGTTGTTTGGAAAGAGTACATTGCCTCGCCGTTATCGAACGTGTTCGCAACAGTGCCCGGCATGCATGATCGACTCGCTCATGTGCTGTCCAGCATGTTCTGGAGCTCGCACCCAAGGCCCTGGGTAGAAAACAAAGTCAATGAGAGCAACAAGCTGGATCCGGAGGAGTTACCTTCTATTGATAGCAGGTGGCTGAGATCCAGAATCTCATC